TTGAATCAGAGTATATATTAATTAATTAACAAAATACTTAATTAATTGTAAGATAATATAAAAAATTATATAACGAAATCATTATATAAGCCTAACCACATCATATATGCCTATAAGATCTTAAATTTATTTATTTTTAGCACGTAGATCTTAAATTTATTTAGATATAAAGTAAATTTTTTTTGCAAATATTGTATTAACTAACGTAATTATCTAAATCGCACGGTCGGCGACTTGTTACCTTGAAGAAATAAATAAATGTAGTCAATTAAAATATTATAAATCACATTGAGATGAACTACACTAATAGCAAATTGAAAAAACAAAGTTCATAGTAAAATTGTTAGAACTATATATTACATTAATCAGTAGTAATAACTAAGCCATGCAACTGTTATATTTCTTATCATTAGAACGTTCCAATTATGTACTGTATAAATATAGTGTAGTAATATCTTTCTAGTAGAAATAAAAAATTGAGTTTGAATTGCATAATATATAAATAAAATAAGTTAAAAGATAAAAGAAAATCTCTTGCTATACAAGTCAAGATCAAAAAAAGAAAAAAAAAATGCACAATGTGTACGAGGATCACTTGTTTCTAAATAAAACCCATCACCTAAATTACTTCATGCATAAAAAAGTGTACCAATTACTACCACACAAAAAAAAAAAAATCTAATTACCACAATTAAATTCCACATATACTCTTAAAAACTTAGGTTTTGTTTATTAATACTGTGCTATACTATTATTATAGGTTTTTTAGTTTTTTATTATCTTAAAAAATATATATAATATTAATTAAAATTAATAAAATTATATAAAAAATTAATTAAGAAATTATAAATTTATATTATTAGATAATATGTTATATGAAAAAAAAAGTAGGTGTCAAGCACCAAAAAGAAAGGGACCAGGCCTCGTACGGACAAAGGTCCAGCTTCCCAACCTAGATGTTGGGTGTTCAATTCCCCCCATCCCAAAACTGTAGCGGTTCGAAAAAAAAAAAAAAAAAGAAAGAAGAGGAAGAAGAAACAAAAGTCTTCCTTCTTGCTTCATATTTTAGTTGTCACATATTTCCGAATATGTTTCCAATTTTCTTGTGAATTTCTATTTTAAATAAAGTATTAAAACCTCTCTTTTTAACTTTATCCTTATTGTAATTTTATAATGACTTCTTTAACAAAATGTAATAATTACTCCTAACCCTTTTATTAATTGAGTCCCACTAAAGATAAAATTATAAAATTTAATTCATATTAATCTGTGTTTATCTATCTATTCTATTTATATATAAAATGCTACCTTATACATTAAATAGGGTATGTATTAATAATAGTTTAGAAACATGAATACAAAAAAATAGAAAAAAATAAACTAAGAGTACATTTTATATTAATGAACTAGTCAAGCTAGCTATATATCCTTAATTAATGTATAAATATGTAGTAAAACAATTTCTTCAATTATTTGATGTATATTAAATTAACATATTTATTATTATTTTTCGTTATATATATATTAAACGAAAAGAAGAGAACCAGACATATCTTTTGATTTTCCCTTAAATGAAAAGTTTACTAGATAATGAATATATTTAAATTTTCCTCTCATCAAATATTCTTATTATTATCATTAATTTTCTAATATTATCGCATGTCTCTTGAAATTTTTCTTCCTACTATTTATAATCCATTGATTTCTTTTCAAAATAATATTGATTAAAAGAAAAAACAAGGAATATGCTAACCATTCAGACATGCAAGTGTAAGGGTTTTATGCAATAAGAATGGCAATGTGAGGTGCATCACGCCTTTAGGGAAGTAAACTACCATCCATAATATATAGCTTTGGGATTTTACCATTTAAAAAAAGATCTTTATGTCTCTAGGACAGCACTAGATTTGGTACACGAGTATTTTAAAAATGATTTGTTAGAAGTATATAAACTTAAAGTCTCCATATTAATTAGTACTTAAGTACTGCTCATTGTAAAAGAAATTTTTTTTCTTTCTCTTGCTTGTTTCTTTTTCTGTTTTTGTTTCTTAACTAAAATTCCTAGCAAAGTTCTCTATATATTTGTAATTCATGAAATCTATTAATAGATTAACCGTGTTTGCAATGTAACTTAATTTTTATTCTCTTGATTTTCTTTTTAGGCCTACTTATATTTTGATTATTTTCACTAAATTTGATTTGTTTCTAAAAGCTCCGACTAATTTTTTTTTCTTATAATTTATTATATCTATTATTAAGTCACTCTATTTTTAAAGGTAAATTGTTAATTTTTATTATTGGTTATTTTCACTAAATTTTATTTTGTTTTCTAAAATTCCTAATAATTCTTTTTTTTCTTAGTGATTAATTGTTTGAGGATATAAA